CTGGCACACATACTTGGATGAATTTAAAGAAGTTGCAAAACCCATCTCGACGAGATAGAACCAGAGAGGTTTCTCTCTGACAGAACAAACGTGCAAGTGTCAGTGAAGCTGTACCAGATTTATTCATGTGGGAAACGAGGAAGCGACGACGCGTCGAGGAACGCGAGAGGAATTTGTTGACCGAAATGTAATACGTGCTTTGTAATACGGATGAAGTATTCCGACAAGTCGACAATACTTATGACATTCGTATCTATACGCGCTCGTGCATGAATATTGTTTGACTCGCTTTATTGCTCTCTCTTGTAGTCCTAGTGGAGAGAGATCGGCTAAGGCTGTTACTTGTATATATTACAGCACCCCGGAGAATGATATGATGGCGTTTATCGACGATGACTCGTTGATGGATGAGCACAACAGACGCGACGAGTGTCGAGCGCTCTCGCCATCCATGTCTCTGCGACCACCTCATCTGCAGAACGGCTGGGGTAGCTCTGTGAGTCAGCGCATCAAGCAGCAGCAACAGCAGCAGCAGCAGCAGCAGCAACAACAGCAGCAAAAACAGCAGCAGCTATCGTTGAGAAAGCCGATCCAAGTAGCAAGTTCCAACATGAATAACAATAACAACAATAACAACAGTAACAACACTAACAATGCCAATGCTGGTAATGGACACTGTTCAGATTATAAGTCCTGTCCTTTTTAATTAAATCAGCAACAACAGCAGCAGCTATCGTTGAGAAAGCCGATCCAAGTAGCAAGTTCCAACATGAATAACAATAACAACAATAACAACAGTAACAACACTAACAATGCCAATGCTGGTAATGGACACTGTTCAGATTATAAGTCCTGTCCTTTTTAATTAAATTTTTTAAATAGCAAAATGTATTAATAATTCGCTGGCAGATTGACAGCAAATTTGATCATATTTCTACTGCAGATTCAAAGCCATCTGTGTGCTTATTAAGTTTAGAATCTGTCGATAATCTATTGATATGCTGTGTCAGCAAAAATTGAGAAAGTGCAATCTACGTGCACAAATAATTTAGCAGCAGGCTTTGTCCTATTTCTGATAGCAGTTTGTCGATATTGTTAGATATTAGACTCTATACGAAATTTGTTGCTCTCTTTTGCTATAAAAAATTAGCATACTTTATTTAAAATCTATCTTCGCAAACTTGATTATCTGGTACTTGCATAATTCATCTTTTCTCTTTTTTTTCTGTGAACAGAAGAGGAAGAAAAATGAATTGTGCAAGATGTTTAGCTAAAAAGAACAGGCCTTACATTCGATTTGAAAATGTAAATGAAAATTAACGTGTTCTTCTTGTTTAGTATTAGAAGGTGCAGCGGGTCAAGGTTCACCGCTGCGTTCAGGCCTAAATCTGCAACTACGCTCGCACGCTTCCCCAAAACTTCCAGTGCAGGAGTGTCCGATGTGCCCCTACAGTTCCGACAGTCCACTAAGGCTGGAAGAGCATATCAATCGCCAACACTTTGATCTCACCTCGCCGTCCTTCCCGCCAGAATCGCCGCCATCGCGGGACGGAGTCTTCAACTGCCCCCTTTGCGTTACGTCTTTTCCGAATTCTTCTGATCTTGAGTTACATGTCAATATCGAGCACAAAGATATACTTAGGTACGCATTCACGTGCAATATATTTAAGAGGTAATAGTGAATTAATTATAGAACACTTATGATAATTGTTTAACGATGATTTATTTTTGTTAGCCCTGCAAACGGAACAAGTTCACAATCCGATACGGCTACTATCGGTAGCGACTCCACGCCTGCCTGTCCAGTATGTCTTAGTACATTATTTAAAAATAATGACGACCTAATGGCACACATCGAAGAACACTTCAACAAGAAGAGCACGCCGTCGCCCGTGACGCCAGATGTGTCGACCGACCGTATGCTAGCGAAGGACATGGAGAGGAGAGAAAAGGAAGTAAGGAAATTACGCGAACAGCGCGAATTCGAGATGCTGAGAGCACAGTATGGTATGGACAATCAGGGTAACTTCAGAGAACAGAGTGTCACTAATATGCAGCGGGCTGTGTATGCGGGTGAAATGACGGTGGCCGATTTTTTCGAAAGACAAATCGAACTTAGAGTCGCCGAGAGTAGCGGTATCGACGACGGCAGTTCTTGTACGCGCGGTACGTGCGATTTCTAATATTTTATGCAAAAGTGTCTAACTTTATCCAAGAAACTTGGCATTATTTATTCTCTTACAGGGCTGGTCCCGAAAGTACGAGCCATTAGTCAGGCTTGCAGTAATGTAGTGAATACCTGGATGTGTTCCACTGTGGACCATTACGCATCAACTTACGGCGATAAGGGCTGGGGCTGCGGTTACAGAAATATGCAGATGCTAATCTCATCTCTCTTGCAGCACACAGGATACAACGATCTAGTTTACAAAGCGTGGAGCTCCGGTGCCGGTGGCAATAGTTCCACGGAGAATCCCCTGCGTAGCTCCATGCCATCGATCTCACGATTGCAAAAAATGATCGAGTGGGCGTGGGCGCAGGGGTTTGATATCCAGGGCGCGGAGCAACTCGGCGGTAAACTCGTTAACACTAGGAAGTGGATCGGCGCCACGGAGGTATTCACGCTGCTGTCTAGTTTGAGAATAAAGTAAGTTCCATGAACGTGATTGGTCGCCAAGTCATACGACGCACACTTTTCTTTCCCTGACTTCGTACAGGTGTCAACTGGTGGACTTTCATAGACCTACCAGCGCAGATGGCGGTCATCCTGAATTGTTCAATTGGGTCTTGCAATACTTTCAAAGATGTGAAGACTTCAAGCCACCTCTTTATCTTCAACATCAAGGTAAATGTTTTTCTTTTCGCGTATTCTGAAGTTTTCCGTTTTTCGAAGTTAAAAACCAAACTAACACACTCAAATAAATTTAGGGCACAGCAGAACAATCATGGGCGTGGAACAGCTAAGGGACGGTTCAATAACCATGTTGGTGTTGGATCCGAGCCATAGTCCACCGCAAATGGCGCATTTTAATAGTACGAGTAGCGCGCCCGGAGCGATGAGGCTCGTACGGAAATCCACCGCAGCAATGAAGGCCAGACAGTATCAAGTTGTGGCTGTAACCGGTACTATGGATACAGAAGCGCAATACCAAGTAATACATATATAGGCGCCTTCAAATAGTCTCCTTATTTATTTAATAATACGACGCGTTAATCTCACTTTCTCGTATTTCTTTTTTTCAGCAAAGTAAAGTATTACGATCAATGCGAGTTCCTCAAGACAGGTGAGAGTTGCTGGTCCGAGAAATAATCAAGCCTCGGGCAAAGACTATAGACTACTGCCTCAAACCAATCTTATCCAATATCCTTGAAATTACGTGACCGCGATGTCCTATGTTCTTCTACCGCTAGCAGACTTATTCCATTGTAGTATATTATACATAGTTGCAGATCTCGTATTATTTAACAATATATTCTTGCATCTCTCTAGTCGTTAACGATGGACTGACTTCTTGAATCATTGTGCCCGCGCGAAGCCTGTGACGCGGTGAACAATTTTGCGGAGCTAATATTTAAATATCAAAAGATGGCTCTTCGTCGCGTCGCTGTAAACGAGTACGTAATCTTTTTCTGAATGGAGAAATACTTAATTTTAAATAAAAATTTGTCGTGCGCGTAAATTTCTGCGAAGAGAATTATCAGATTTAAGGCGGGGTGAAAAGCCCGTGGGAACATAGTGTTAAATCGATCGTCATTTCTTGTCCAAAATGTTCTGCTCAATTTTCGTCGCACCGAACAGGCTGTGCTAACCCTTAGTCGACCAATCGCCTTGTACCGATCGGTTGCACCATCGAAAAAGCCGTGGCAGAGCTTGGAAAACGAGACTTTTTCGTAGCTGTGATGCTGTTATCAATACGACGCTAATCATTCACATCTAACGGATACACTCTTGGAAACGCTCCAGAATCAACACGGTGTTCCCAGCACTTGTCTCGTTCTACAACTTACAATCTATGACAAAGATTTCCATCAAAGCGTTGTCGATTTTTAGTCAATATAAAAAGTGCCGAGAGCCGTACGGTGCATACCTTACGACAAGTTTTATATAACAATATGAAAAAGATATTCTTTGACGCATTTTGATTGCTAAAACGCTTCTATAAAAGAATCTGGAGTGTCTGCAAAAGTGATCAAAAAATCGCATTTTCATATATATTATATATATTATATACTATATACATACACACACACATACACACACATACGCCACATATATTACACATCTGCACATTCTTCGTTATATCGTACTTCACCTACCCACACATAAAGTACAACTACTTTCATATTAATTACAAATATTCTATTTAATTATCCTATTGACTTTAGGCTACTTATGTCATAGCTCGTAAGTCCAACGCAATGCTGTGAATGAGAAGATAGATAAAAAAAAAAGTCCATTTACTTGTTATTTATATTATACACTTGACGGTTATGTGAGTTAGTACATTCTTATTATTACTCTCTTATCATATTTCATAAATTGTACTGATATATATCTAAGATCTATTTATTATAGTTAAAAATATATTTGTGACCATTCTATGAGGACGCGTGATGCCTCGTGGGATCGTCGCGTCGTTATTTTATAGCTTCGATATTTATGATGCACCAGTCAAATGTAAGTTTGTCTTTCAGCCCAGTAGGACCACGTCGCAATAACATTATTGACTGGCTGTAAAAATTGTCAAAAATGATAAATTGCAATTATAGTATTGAAGATTTCGCCATATATCGATTTAAGAATCTGTTCATTATTTGGAGTGTTCAGGGAAACCAAGCTGTGGAATTGTTATGCAAGAGTAAAACCTTCGCATTAGCCACACATCAAATTAAAATATATGCTTTGTTAGAATTCCCAATATATGACTTCACTCCTTATTCTCTTATCCTATGCCAATGATAGCAAAAGGAAAGGACCAGCTTAGATTGATAAATCTTAATAAAGAAAAAAAAAGAATATAATTTTATTTCTCTCTCTTACATAGTTACATTACAACAGTCTACCTCATATTTCTTGAAGCTCATTCAAAATAAGTTATGTGTATTACTTTTTTAGAGCTTCATAAACATAATTTAAGTTTTATCAAGTCTAAAAAGAAAATTATTTACAAAGCATAGATACATAAATATGTATGTAAATATGCTTATAACCTGAGACTTCTCAAGATTCTTTGCGGAATATGCCTTTTATGACAAAGTCGTCTCTTTGGTATAAAGACATTTATTCTTCTATGTTTTATATATTAAATCCCATTGATCGCATACATGTTTTATGCGCTTCTATGAGATCACCGCAATTTTCCTCGCCCTTTTCTATGATACTGAAAATATAAAACATGACTTTACAATATAAAACCTGTATATATATATAAAATGGTATTTCATAAAAAAAAAATAAATGTTAATTTTCTTGAATTAATTTTAAAATGAAATATACGTAACTATTGATAACAGCTATATTAAAATATAAATTTAAGATTTCCGTTCAATAAACAAAATATTAGGTGTAGTAAAAAGAAATCTATTATTTTTCCAATAAATGGCTTTAGTAATCTGTATCTCGTCTACGCGTGATATTAATATAACAACATTTCTAACCTAACACAACTTCATATTCATGATTAAAAAATTATGTTACACACCATGCGTCTCTCGCTTTCTTAGTTTCAGGACAGGCGCAGCAAGGTTTCAATTTCTTCTTTTCTTCTGACTTTGCTTCTATTTTTGTTGCAGAGTTACCCATTTTTATTAATTATAAAAAACTTAACAGTCTCACAATTTTGTAGCAATTTCATACGTTAAAAATTGCGTAGAAATACGTAGAAATGTCTTAAGCGCCTCTGCAGTAAATTTCGCAAACCATGTATAATATAACTTATCGATAATCAACAATAAAGAAAATTATATTTTTTATAGCAAATGTAAGTTGAAATAATAAGAATTTTAAAGAAACAAATTACGCAAGAAATACTTATTATTGTAATTTAATATATCTTAAATGTTTGTATATTCGCATCTCATAAAATCAGTTATATTTGTTTCTAAAAATTTAAATTGAAAAATTTGAAATGAGAATGTAATTAATAAATCACTTCCTGTATAATAATATTATCGTGATACTTTTTTTTTTATTAGTTTGTGTCTGTCGTTAAATTTGCTAAGTAATTTCACAAACTATTGGTAATCATGAATTCTATTTATAATATATATATATATACATATATTGTAACGTCAATTACTAACAAATTATATGTAATTAGCAAGAAATATATTCAACAAAGATAATTGCATTTATCAATTCCAAGATCGAATATTTTTCAAATTAAAAAAAATTTTTCACATTATCAAAGAACTTCCTTTTTTCCAAGAATATCCTTTCAACTTTTCAAGAATTTTCTACATTGCCAAAAATAGATGGAATTCCCCAATGTTTTAACAATCATACATTGTGCATGCTGACACGTATACGTTACTCACGCGATACAATACACGAGACTTGAATAGCATATCATTATTAGAGTACGCTTATTTACGTACACAACTTTAAACAAAATTACATTAATACAAATATCGTGGATATTTTCCATCTCTACAAATAATCTCCCAGCAAACGAGAATGAATTGAAATGAATTGAAATAGATTCAGATTTTCAGAAATATTGATTCACGAATGTTAAAATGAATGCTTTTCAATCCTGAATGCATTTTTTATTCATTTATAGGAATTGCATGGAGCTCTATCTCTATGCTTTTCAATCTAAAAATAATATTAGCTTTTTCTGTGCACAACACACACATTGTGAATACTGTTCAATTCAAAATTTTGAATAGGAAATGCAATTTTCAATCAAATTGCATCCAATTGAATTTAATTGAAACCAATTTAATCCAATTAAATCTAAAAAAAGTATTTGCTATTTAAAATACGCATTCGGATAGAAAAAAATTTCAATTCATTTTAATCCATTCTCATTTGCTGGGCTTACAAATAATCTTGACATCGATTCCATTGTCATTTCTCACTGGATATTGTTTTTTTGAAAAATATTTCCAGATTTTTTAAATCTATCAAAAATTTTACAAGTGTAAAATTAACGAAGTTGAAAATAAATAAATATATATTATAATCATGCATATGGCTCTCGATTACCGCATTTTAATTCACCTTAATCCGCATCTGCCAATCGAATATTGAAACCTTGAAGAAGCAGATGGTGTTGGGAAGAAGCACAATTACGTAGCAGGTGTATATTGTCGAGCGTGCGCGACAGGTGAAGTGCAGGAAGCTTTAATGTTGCTTGTTCACTTTTATATAAGATCGTCATCGAACTTTTGAAAAGCCATGATTAAAAAACAGAAGATATCAAGTAAATACCAATAAAAAGTGGCATAAGGTTTACTGTTTTTTTATTCCTGCACTATAACATTATAGACTGCACTTAGATCTCTCTTTTTCGTTTTCGCTAAAACCAACATATACATACACACACACACACATATATATATATATATATATATATATATATATATACTCTTTAAATTTTAAAAATATATACTAGTTGGGTTTATAGAAAGTAAAATGATAACATCAATGTTATAATTTTGCATTCGACAATATAACTGTTACGTATAACATCATGTATTCTATTACATTTATGAGTGTTTTCCAGCGAGAGACACAGATGATACAATATATGTATATAATACAGTGAATTATTACATCTTTGATGTGTATCAGTGTTAAACCAAGATAAAATGATTACAGTATTGCAATGTGTTTCTTGATGGATAAGTAAGCACCATATATTGTTGAGTGCAAAATTATTACATAGATTTTATGTTATTTTTTAATTAGTATCAACTGGAACACACGCACACTAAAGATATACAAAACTGTAATCCACATATCTTGAGATTTAAAATCTGTTTGCTTTAATTTCAATACATTCCATTCAAATGTGATCGAAATCGAGTTGATCCCCAAGGAACATCAAGTCAAGAGAAAATCAAAATGATTTTATTTTGACATCATAAAAGATAAAATGATTTTTATTGGCGTTAAACATTAAAATAAAATCTTTTTGATTTTTTTATCGATTTTACGTATCTCTTGAGTCGTCGTGGATTTTATTAGCAGGGAATTTTATTTGCGCGTGAAAAAATCTAAGGACGATTTATTTCGGGCATCGACGCAGTCAGGAAGATGCGTGCAGAATACACGATCGATCGTTCCATCATGTCCCGGTATCGATCATTCGTTCACGCGTGTGCACGTGCGGTCGATAGGAATTAATCACTTCTCATGCTTCGCGCGCATGGTGCGTCGCTTCATCGGTTTTTCCCAGGACGACACGATTTCCGAACCGATACCTCTTCTTCCTCGTAAATAAGATCCGGCGCGGTGGAAGGGAACGACGAATAATTTCGCCAGATGAATACTGAAACGGCCGTACGTCGCACCTCTACAATCAGCGTAGCTCTGCCCTCGGCGAGTACATATACTCCTCATGACGAGAATACCACTTACGAGCGACCGTGAGACCACAAAGAGAGAAAAAGGAAACAGAAGCAGAAGTTCGGAGTCACGTCTTTCCCCGACACGCGCACCTGTCCCGAAAAGTAATCAAATGATTTTTCCGATTTGTCCCAAGGAACGATGTTCCTTTATGTCGGTGACCGTAAATCACGCCGTAGTGTCATAAAACTGGCAGACTATAAAGCAAATCCCAGTTTCTTCGCACTTGGCGATCCTTCCGACCGAACTAGTTTCGGAGGAGCCGATTAATCTCGTTGGCAGGAATTGACTCAACGATGGAATTGACTGACAATGAACGCATCGATCTCAATTATATCATAAGATGAAGTTAACAAATATAAACTTTATAAATAATTGTAAATGAAAATTTGATAATGGCTCAATAAATTTGATCCATTCTCGATATGTTTGCAAGGCGCGGTACTTCCGACCATTGTTTGACTTTATTTAATTCAAGACTATTAAAATTCTTATTGTTGAAAATCACAATACTTGCTTTCTCTGACGTCAAATAATTCAAACATTGTATCTTTTGTATTATACTCGAAACAAAGCTTAATTCCATTTATAGAATCGCGTGACAGATATAAATACTTCAAATTCATTATATAAATCTTCATCGGAAAATTTAAAATGATTCTCAAGTATAAGTGGCACTCTTGTGAGTTCACTGTGTCCTCTCCTTGTGAGTATAAAAGTGAAACGCAATTGTATTATAAAATATGTATTTTACTGAATAGCACATTAAAGTGTTAAAAATTCTGCGATTTAATCCGTTTTATATTTATATTAACACACATCTTTATGTCGATTTGATATGTATGACTTCAATGTACACAAAAGCGTATAATCAATTTTTTTAAAGTTTTATTAATCCACTAATTCAAGCAAGTTTCGCGTGTCATTCCTTGATTCAGTCATTTTTTTTCGTATCGATCGATATCCAATTCCGTAAAGAATAAGGATCGGTAACCATCACTCTCACACATGAAGTATAGCGTTTCAATGTCAGCCACAGGAAGTAACTCGATACAGTTGGCTTCTGAACACGTGCGGATGATGTTTAAGCAGAATATATGGTCGCCGACCGGATGGGATTCGCACGATTAAGCGTTAAGATCGGCTTCGACGATATCGACGATATTGGTACGAGCCAAGTATATTGATTCTATAAAATGTACCTTGACAAATGGATGTAACACATTTCACGAGCGATTGAACTTAATAATGATTTATTATAACTTAAAAATATATTTAATAAATATATACATGATTTATTAATCAATTAAAAAAAAATGATTTATACAATATTGATGTCGAAATAAGCGAGGCATCACTGCCCAGCAAACGAGAATGGATTAAAATGGATTGAAATTTTTTTCTATCCGAATGCATATTTTAAATAGCAAATACTTTTTTTGGATTTAATTGGATTCAATTGGATTCAATTGAATACAATTGGATTGAAAAACTGCATTTCCTATTCAAAATTTTGAATTGAACAGTATTCACAATTGTGCACAGAAAAAATATTATTTTTAGATTAAAAGGCATAGAGATATATTCCATGCAATTCCTATAAATGAATAAAAATGCATTCAGGATTGAAAAGCATTTATTTTAACATTCAATATTTCTGAAAATCTGAATCCATTTCAATTCATTCCAATCCATTTTCGTTTGCTGGGTGCTCCAGCGGAAGGTTGAGGGTCAGCATGAGAACCACTAAGGAGCAAAAGGGCGCGTGCCAAGGGTTCACATCTGCCGCAGTTGGTTTTGCATCCCTACGTTCCTTTTTAGAAAGGGAAGACCGCCACCATCGTCAGCATCGTCGTTTCACGTGTGTGAGTCTCTAGTTACAGAAAAAAAGAAAAAAAAAAGGGAGGGACGTTTCCGCAGGAAGCACCACAAGGATCCCTCTTTCGCCCCTCATCTAACGTGAACGCGCAGCGATGGATAATCGTATGTGCGAGTCATATGCAATTATTGCGCTTGAAGGATCAGAGCAAGCGAGACGTGGAGGATGGTTTTTTCTTTTACCTCGCATCGCGATCACTGTGATTTCGTATTGCCAACAATTTACTCTCCTAGAATCCATGTGTTACAACCGAAGTACGTATTCTCGGTGAATTACGCGAGTCGCGGCTAAGTAAACGCTGTGATTACTTATTAGTTGCACGTATAACTATAATAAGTCGCAAAAAACACGAATTGATCCTTGAAAAACGTCGCAAAAACTCATGGATGCGGCAAATGAGAAATCGAAAGGAAAAGTGCGATGAGTTATTT